GTGGTGACATGGCAGCTGTACTCTGTCTGATTCAACAGAACTCATCTAGGGGTGCATAGGGAAGTGTGTGAGTGCTGTGAGACCACTGGGCCCTGTGCGTTCATGTCTAGCACAGATTCCAGCCTGGGGTGGACCAAGAGCCCAGCCATGTACATCGCACATCAAGCTTCAACTTTGCAGAAGAGAACAGCAGCAGCCAAGAGTCACCGTGGCCCAGTGATCACTTATGGATTTGTTCACCTCATTGTCCTAGTATTTTTTATTTTGGGTGATTTAGCTAGCTATCTAATACTATTCTAACAGAAGACATTATTTTGTTTAATTTAACTTGTTTTCTATTTATTTATTTATTGCTGCCCTTAAGATACCCAAACTCCTCAAGGGACACTAGATGGCAATCAAGTCTTCAGGGATATGCAAGTCCCCCTTTGAGGCTGAGGGCAGGCACTGGGAAATCTCCAGTTGGGCCTATTTTTGCTTCCCGGCTTCCTGCCACCCCTACTCTCACCACTATGGAAACTCCCCGAGGTCTCAGAAAGGTGATCTTTCTCTTGGCTGCTGAAGTTAATTAACATTGAGACACCAGTGTCTTCCTGAACAGAAAGGGGTGAGTTGATAAACAGGTGACATTCCTGCTCCTGAACTTTACTCAGGGGATTTCTTACATGAGGGAATTAGACACTGTACCGGAAGGGAATTTCCCCATCCCAGCCTAATTTTTGTTAAGCTGAGTCATTTTACCTCCCACTTCCCATGGCCTTCCACCCCCAATAGTTGAATAATGTCTGCCTGGGTGGCTCAGCTGTCTAACTTCTGAGGGTCACAGCATAGAACAACTCAGTTGTCAGGTAACAATGACTAAAACGACTGCTCCCTTAGCATTTTAGTCTCTAGCGAGGGACTGAGTATATTTCTTCGTATGGGGGAGGAGAGTAGCAGGTACACTCCTCATCTTCCAGCTGTGTCTCTTCTAGCTGCTCCACACAAGTACTTGACCTGGAATGTCAACAGAAAAGACAGATGCATCACAACCCAGAGGGCCACTCACAGACAAAATGCCACCATCCTGGGCAGCAAAGATTTACACACTCTGCCACCTTCCTTACAAACACAGCCATGGACCATAACTGATATAGCTAGAGCAGGAGCACGCTCCAACACACACACCATACCTGTCATTCCCACCATCCACGTAAGAGGGGTAGTCCTCCTCATCATCAACAAATGCAGTGTTATCCTGAGGGTAGATGGTGTAGTACTGAGGAGGACTTGGCATGGCGGCCACTGCCCCTCCAGAGGATATAAGACCACACGGGTTCACCACTGGCTGCAGGTAGGCGGTGTTCATCCCAATGGGCTCCTGAGAACCATAAGGAGGAGGGATATACTGTACCACAGTGGCCCCATGGAAGGTGATGGGTTGATTGATGCCAGTAAAAACAAATGATTGTCCACCTGGTGTTTGTTCCGAGTCCAGGATCCTTTCCTCATTTTCTTTGCACAACTGGCAGGAGAGCATTTTGAACTTGCACACAGCAATCAGGATGAACGTCACCCCAACCGACAGCAGGATGGGCCCAAGGAGCTGGGTCCACTCAAAGTGGGATACACCTTGGTATTTGATCCAACCCATGACGGTGAATGTGATCCCCACCAGTCCCAGGAAGACGCCTGAGAAGAGCAGAGTGGCACCCGCCTTGTCATCATCTGACACGTGGATGTCAGTGGTACTGGGTGTGTAAGGGGTGACCGAAAACACGTTGAAAGGGAAGTCCTCCACACATCTCCTGCCCTGCTCCATTGTTCCTCA